ACCAAGGAAAAAAAGATGTCAGTTAGTCACTCAATAGTGTCTGACAGTGAAGTCTAGGAGGTAAATGGTTTCCTTTCATAATTTGAATACTAGGACACAGCTAATGTTTAAATTTCACAGATAGGACATACATAACATATCCACAATTCCTGCAAAGTTCTACAGAATTTGATGTTGCCTGAAAAAGGGATATAGTATCTTTAAGTAGCACTATGTTGACGTCAAATCTTTAGCTCTTCGGGGTTCTCTTTCTGATATATATAACTAAGAACATCATGGGGGGGGGGGGATTCTTTACTTCCGTGATTTATTTACAAGCGCAATATCACTATTCATGAATCTCACGATAATTACTTGGCTACTAACAACTTAACTAACGAATGTCTATAACATTGAGATATCAATCAATCTACCATAGCTTCTAATAATAAAACAAATCGAGCACTTATAAGCGTCTCCATTAAGAAATCATATAAACATAGAACAAGAACTTTAGCGTAACCATCGATCCCTATAATATTGCCTTATGAGTTTCCTACACTGTATACGCTACGAGACTGAGGATCATTTGCGCACATAGTCCCTTAGCATGTTGTTCTACTCTCAGCCTTCACTAACCCATAAATTAAGGAGTCATTCCTTGTCTCAGGTATTTACATTAATACTGAATTAATTCATAAAACCTCCTAAACTATTCATGTACTTTCCAATAGTCATCTGTATAACTTTGATGCTTTACTTCCCTTTTCGGCGAGATTACTAAGCTCCGTACAGTACACTATTCACAGAACTAGCAAGTAGCCTTACCTTGCACTAATTATATAGCACTAGCAAACTTACAAACAATATTATGATTTCCTCAATATTACATAACTTATCAAATTGTTGCAAGGAGGAATGGGGATTATTGACCTTGATAAAAAGTTGTGTTCATCAGGCGCGCCGGAAGCAGTTTGGGATTGGGGGGGGGGGGGGGCAAACATTCCAGGGGGCTCACCTTCCAGGGGCAGTGACGTAACGAGCAAAAACGTTTGGAGGGGGGGGGGGACAGAAGAAAAATCTGCATCACCACCACCACCAATTGGCGGAGATTCCAGGGAGCAGAGCCCCCGGAAGCTCGGGTTTTTTAGGTATTTAATAATGGTCAGATGAGCATATAAGGGACCGCCTAAAGGGCCCTTGATGGGGTCCGGGGCGGTTTTAGGCATTTAATTACGGTCAGATGAGCCTATTTTGATACCTCATTATTTTGTGACATTGGCAGGTCACCTATTTTTTCTCTCTCTCTTTTTTTCTTTTTCTCTTTAAAAAACTTTTTCAAAAAGTGAGGGTAGCTCGAGCCCCCGAGCCCGGCCGTTCTGCATACCCTAACATATAGGCTTATAAATAAGCATATTTTCCGCCCGACTGTAAATTTGGGAATTTCTAATTTCCAACAAACGCATAAAAAGGGATGATTTACAAAAAAAATGAGAAAAAATACCCCCCCCCCCCATTAGTACGCCAGCGTTCAGGGGCTCATGAGCTTCTCACCCCTATAAAAAAAAAACAGACACGCTTTCCCATTCTCTCACAATATGTCCACGATATGCGCGCGCTATTATAAAAACCTCCATTTATAAATATAGGTAGCATGCGCAATGTTTAGGAAATTTAATTCCTGTTAACTTTCCTTTTCTTTGAATAGAATTTTATACGTCATTTAACTCAGGTTTTTATTATTGTTATGTTCTTTTGGGTTAAACAAACAAACCATCTTACTCCTTTACTTCGTTCTTTTTTTTTTTGAGGGGGGGGGGGCGTTTTTTTTTTTTTTTTTTGGGGGGGGGGGGGGCAAAAATGCGTTTTGCCCCCCCCCCCCACTTTTTTGATTGGGGGGGGGGGGGCAGCTGCCCCCTGCCCCCCCCCCCCCCCCCACTTCCGGCGCCTATGGTGTTCATACTGCTCGCACTGCCTAATCCTGATAGCACATTAGTAATGTAATGGCAGACGCGAACGCGTGCATCAAAAATTAAAATTGGTCAAGATGCTTATTGGACCAATTTACTACACGTTTCAGACATTTTTTAACATTAAACAATTGTGTGCGCGCGGACGCTTGCGTGTGCATTTTTGCGCTTGCCATCTGTACTGAATATATTAGTTTCATTTTCCCACTTGTATTGCGTTTTGGATGCATGTACTACTCTTAGCAATTTTAAATCGCCAAACCACCATTGACCTAAATTTTGCTCATTGCCAGGTAGCTAAAAGTGGTTCCAAAAGTACCTATTTTGAATCCACTATAAATTTTCAGAAAGGCTGGTTATCCTACATTTTTCTTTCAAGTTCTGATAGGGTAAGATTTAGAGATGCAATTTCATGCATCACGTTTGGTGTTCGAATGCTTTGACGTCAACATAGTGCAGTTGATTCGATTAGGTAACTTGCCGCTGTTGTTTTGAATATATCTCTCGTACATCCCTACTCTGATAATTCCCATATTGTTTGACGTTCGAATTTTTGTATTAAATAATTAATTAATGGTCACGGTGTATTTTTGAAAGTGGAGCTGAATTGGTATGACTGTATTGGCTAAATTCCACACATTTTTGGGTCTTAAATTACCTTCATAGCAAGTTTAGGTTCTAAAAAGGCACTATAATAGTCATAGAAAAGAATAAGAGCAATAACCATGCACTTTGAAGGCATTGCGGTCTGAAAACAGAACTCAACTATCCCTTAAACTCTGTGTTATTAGATGGTCGGCTGCGATATTTTTAAGACTATGGTAGACGCTCCGCAGCCCCTGTATGTGCTTATTAGAAGAAAAAGAGAACAGCAGATATGAAGGCTAGTCGGTCGACCAGATGCATGAACGCGTTTGGAAGATGAAGAAATGTCTTACATAATAACTAGAGACGGCAGTATGATCTTTTAATTGAAAAGAGGCAACATAAAGATTAATCAAATGTAATGTAGTATTTCGATGTACCTTTTATTTGATTTAGCTTTGATTCGACTCATACGACCTACATTAACTCGATCAATAATATATTGATATATATTCAACGACATTTGAGCACAATAAAAGATTCAGAGCAGTTAGTTCCGAGAATATATATACAAACAACATCCATCATCAAAACATGTTCAGTACATTATCATTGTCGGTACAAGTACCTACTAAAAGGTTTGAAGTATAGTCTAGACTGTTTGCGACCCAGCAATAATAACATGATAAAGGTCAGCAAATATTGATATTCCAGTACATTACCGGTTGAATTAAAAAGTTCGTTGCAGGGGAAACGGGCACAAAATTGTTATAAATTTTGGAAATTGCTTGGGACAAATCTCATAGCAAAAGCAGTGTTGAGAATTTCTGGTGCATATCAAGCTCCCTTACTATTTGATATGACCGCTATCATGTCTCTAAATTAAACAGACAATACTCAGTTCAATGGGAGTTTGTGAAAGTGACATTATTTCATGAATCATTAATAATCATTTGGCAACAAATACGTACCTCATTTAAAAAATGTAAATTAGAACTAGCATTATTGAGCACTATACAGTGCGTCCGGCCCAGAAAAACACGAAACCGAGAATTATCGATGTTTTATGTTTACTTAATCACGATCATAATTGATAAATGACACGTATTTGTAAAACTTGTATGATGAATATTTAACGTGTGAGTGATTAAAATCAATTCGAAGAAAGAGTACCAACAAGTTATTGGGCGGACGGTATCTGAATTTCGAAGAGGAAAATCACATTTCTAGAAAGTTCATTATCTGCCCTTCCATATGACACCTCAATCAGGAAAAATGAGCAAGAAATATCAAAGCAGGGACCTCGCTAATCAAAGTTGTATTTGTTTAAAGTATTGCTTGCATTTCCATAATTTGATTAAACAAATTCGTTTCCACTGGCTACCTGCCGTAGCAACAAACAGAATTGACAAAAGATTTAACTCCGTTTCGTCAAAGATCAGCCATAGAAAGAAAGACTTCATCCATGGCTGATTGTCAGCGAAACGGAGTTAAGCCTTTCGTCAATTATGTTTGTTGCTACGGCAGGCAGCCAGTGAAATCGAATTCATTTAATCAAATTATGAAAATGCAAGCATTACTTTAAACAAACAGGTCTTTGTTAATCCTAACTCATTCTTTCAGAGTGAGGTGTCGTATGAAAGGGCAAAAAATGAACTTTCTAGAAATGTGATTTTCTCTATGAACTTCAAATACCGTCCGCCAAATGACTTTTTGGTATTCTTTCTTCAAATTGATTTAAATCATATATGCGTTAAATATGCATGTGAGTTGCATCAAATGAAATAGGAGGATCTGAGCTTACACATGTGTGTCATTTATCAATTATAATTGTGATTAAGATATGGTATAACATCGATAATTCTTTATTTCGTTTTTTCTAGGACGCACTGTACAGTTACAAAATTTGGAAGGTAAAACAACGTTCGGAGGTTAAAAAAAAAAAACTTTTTCTTTATTACATCCAGAGAATATTTAGATGAAACATTTGTTCGGGGGGGGGGGGGGTGCTATAGTTTTATATTTGGGGGAAGCCTGTCACTCTTCTACCGATGGAAAATTGTGTCATGAAAATAAATTAAGTTAACACCTTCTTTCTGACAAAATTAGGTCAATGAGCTTTGAGGAAAAAATGCCCAATAAAGGGCGTCTGATAACCCCATACCGGCGCACTATTTTATATCATTACATCGAAATATATACATATATATATATATACATTTGTATGTGTGTGTGTGTGGGTATGTGTGTGTGTTTAGCATGTATTCATTTAAGTCATTTCGATTTACCAAACTCTAAATGCGGCCGGGTAATTCAGTCCCTTTCTTCATTTGCATATACGACCGGGGCTTTAGCTGATTGGAAGCCTCTGTGACGTCGAGCGAGCCTTTTGTGTCACGTGTTTCACTGCAGTGTCAGCAGTTATGCATGGACATGTCCTATTTCGATTTGAAAAGTCGTAAAAATAGTAATCTAGCACGGCGCACTCCTCTCTCTTCATTTAGTTAAAAGTCAAAACCTACCTCGGCACATGCAACAAGAGCGCAAGAAGTTATTGCACAGATATCATACTTTACAAACTAATTCTAGTACGAGTTGAGAGTTTGAGTTTTAAACGGCAAGAGGTTACCTTACGATCAGTTATGACGCGAATCACCACTTTTCAAGCTGCAGGAATCCTAGGTGAGACAAAACACATTCCGATTCTATTAAAAAGTTACCATATTTTCTTTCTTTCTTTAGGACCATTTGATTCGACATGTTATTTCCGTCTTCTTACACTAGTGTGTTGCCATGAAGCTATACAGTATAATGACTGTTTTGTTAGAATTTTTTTCTTTTTTCATTCAAATTATCTTGGTCTGTGTTGATATTCAGTCTTAAAATGTGAAGCGGATAAAGTAGAAGTGAGCCCAGCAGTTCTTTTGTTAATGTCGCGTTGGAAAAGTTGAAGAATTTATTGGCTTCTTGTTCACGATCAGATGGTCTGAATAGATTTTGATCGGCGACAACTTAACTAAGTATCCTCAATGGTATTTCGTTGTCAATGCTGTACCAGAACTCGGTGTAAATTTCATTAGAATGTATGCTACAACTACAAAGTTTTAACTGCTTTTGCAAGAAGTAACCTGTTCCAAATGTTAAAAGTAAGCGCGTTGCATAGCATCGATGTGCAATATTTTTTGATAAGCGTTTAATTGTCGCTTTTGCATTTCACGACAAGACTTTCCATTGAATCCATTCTAACTTTTATTGTCTCGTTGACATCATCATTGGACATTTTAAATAGATATTGCATTCGTATAATGTCGTGACTGACTTTGAAATATGTCTTAAGTATACGAGAAACAAAAAGAAGTATTCCGAGAATTTGTTATGCGAACAAAATTGCTTAATTGCTACTGTCTTCAACTTTTATACTCGATTACATTGTGACGTTAGCGATTTACTGTAGGAAACAACCAGATATTGATTTAAAGGGGAAAACAACTGCATTACGTTTCCAGCTATTCAAGTTAATAAGCATCAAAGACTAAACATTGATTCTAGGACACGCATAATTCTCAGGAGATCAATATAAAATGCTTAAAGGTAATGCAAAGTTTTACGGAAATTTTGAAAATTGGATGGATAGTAATTCCTTAGAATTTTTTAATATATTTGGATGCCTCTGTGTGTATATTATAAACACTGGAAAATTAAGGGCCTAAAAGTAAAACACTTCTGCTTTCGAGTAATTGAATAATCAAAATTTTACCGGTTTCCAGTAAACTTTAAATATTTCAAATAGCGCTGAAGTAGCCACACGAAGAATCAAAAGTGTTTTGAATTGATGCAAAACTCATATCATTGCGAAGGGGAAGCCTTGCTGATCAAATACAACAACTCTTTTCTTCAAAATATGTTTGTGGTCCGCAGTAATCAACTCTCAAAAATGTTAGTTTTGAGATCCAGATTTTCTGCCTTAGTAATCAGCGGTCCTTTATAGAGCCTCAATATTTGTGACGTCACATACGGGACACGGCTGGCTAGCTGCAGACTGCTACACGACACTGAGCTGTTTGTCCAGTGTGTGACGTCACTATTCAGAGCTCGATACGCTCGTGTGTTTGGCTTACGTTCGGGGGCGCTTGGGGGTCTAAGAAGGGTTTTGAAAAATTGCATTTTACGCCTTTCCATGATATCTATATGATTTCTCAGCAAATTATTCGTGTTTTTCAAGAGAAAATCTTTCCATCCATATGTAATTTGTTCTAATTATCAGTCGTTAGTGAATTTTCTTTGTGTAGCTCCTTTAAGGCCAATTCATGGTAGCTGCGACCATGAATATATATATGATATACATATTCCAACCGGGAATAGCTAATCGGTCGATTGTAGTCCAGAAACATCGTTTTAAAGTTAAAGCATACATAAAGAGTTGATTATATACAATTTCATCACTTTAGACTCGGTTTCAACCGCGACAACGATTATTGAATGGTGTAAATTCGCATGTGCTTCCGATATGTTAATTTGAAACCAAATTCAATACCCCATACCAACACTTTGTATTACCTGAAGTTATTATTTGAAGTTGATTTTAGAGCTTGCATGCCACTAATTTGTAATGCCCCCGTGCATACACTTATAATGCACTTGCGCTATTCTTGTAACAATTATTGAAAAATGCATCATTTTACAAAATGATCATCACTTTCTTATTTTAGCTTAATATTTTTTTAACCGGAATACTAGGACATACTAAGGAATATTACTGCAAAATTACCTACGAATTGTCAGTGCGAATGGATGAGTCTTTTCTAAGCTAATGTTGCGAGTCAAACTATCGTTGCATTTTTAATGAGACACCCCGTATATTTCAGTCTAAAAATATAGAGTGTTATCTGTGATGAAATTGTTGCCCAGACCCAGGCGCGGATCCACGAGCCCAATTCTTCCGGCCCGGCTATGGCAAGCCCATTCTTCCGGGCCGGAAGAATTGGGCTCGTGGATCCGCGCCTGCCCATACCTGTGTACACATTTTTCTTCCGGATGGGAAATTATCTTATCTTATTATCGATATAACCATATATATCTATTACGCTACCTATCGATCTCTTTCCCCCAATCTCTCTTCGCTCCCAAAGTGTTTTTTCCTAAACTCTCTTAACAAAAAAAATTCAGGACAGATTAAATTTTACAGAATGCCGATAAATAAAAATTCTAATTTCGTAAGATCTTGATGATTTCAATGATCTAATTTCTTTTCTTATTTTTGAATTGATAGTGGCAGCACTGATGTGCTTCCCAGCAGTATGTTATGCATACAACAAAACTATTACTAGAACTTCAACGACCACTGGAGCTATAACTAATGGACCTACAACAAAAACTGCAAGCAACATGACAACTACTGGACATAAACAAACCACTGCAAGCAACATGACAACTACTGGACATAAACAAACCACTGCAAGCAACATGACAACCACTGGACCTACCACAATCACTGCAAGCAACATGACAACTACTGGACATAAACAAACCACTGAAAGCAACATGAAAACTACTGGACCTACAACAACTGATGCAAGCAACATGAAAACTACTGAAGCTCCAACAACCCCTGAGCCTAAAACAACCGCGGCCAGCAACATGACAACCGAGAGTGGAACGACAAGCACCACCCAGTCAGGTATTTGTTAGCAATATTTATATGGAAGCCAGGTGGTCGTCAGTTACCATGCATGTGCAGAATGTCGTAATTTGACGACACCAGACTTGGTGGATATACCATTTTTGGGTGTACAAGTCTGCACACAGTAACCGCCTAGGCTTATCAAGAAATGCTAGCTCTCTCGTCTCTTCGATGATGCAAATGTCAGATAAGGACTTCAACAAACGGGGAAAAGGCAAAGCAATATACAAAGCCTGTTTGTCATAAAACTACAGGCTTATCCTGGTAATTGACACAATCTGCTATTGGATTAACTCCCGAACGGTGACAAATTCCCCATGAGAGCCCCATTCATGTGTCTGCAAAGGTACTATGTCCCATTTGCAGGCCATGAAGGTTAAATTCCAACGCCATTTGAAAGTTAACACTAATTTAGAACTTCCCTAAAAGAAAGGGGATTGAAATATCGTTCGGTGGGAAAATAACGACTTATATTTGTCGAATCGACTTAAGTGATACAAATACAGTAAGTAATAGTCTGATTTTCAGACCATTATACCGAATGGTCGTACGTTTTGTGCTGCGCAAAGATTCAATCAGTTTAATTTTGGCCATTACAAGAAATGGTTTATTGATATAGACAAATGCTCATGTACCCTTTACAGCTCATTACATGTATGTTATTACCAAAGACGAAAAAAGCCAGCTAGTCACTCAATAGCGTCTGACAATGAAGTCTAGCAAGTAGGCGGGTTTCCTTGCATAATTTGAATATTAGGACACTGCTAACATACATGACATTTTCATAATTCCTGCAAAGTTCTACAGAATTTGATTTTGGCTGCAAAAGGGACATAATATCTTTAAAGTCTTGATGTCGGTTTGATTCTTAAATCATATGAATTGCAAATGTTTCCCTTTTTTCTTCAAAAGGTCGTTGTTAGTTAAAGGAATAACTATTACCTGAAAACATACGTGTGTATAGATAGAATGTATAACATCAAACCTCAAAACTGTAACTGATATTCAATGAAGCAATGACGGAAATAAAACCACGGACTTGGGTTCAGTGCGAGCGCGTTTTGGTGCTTTGACTAGTCTGCACTTGTCCCACTATTTGCTGAAGATGTATTTAAAATTGTTATTTTGAAATTCTGAATTTTGAATATATCATAGCAACTAGGAACCTCTTTAATACAGGTGTTAGTTGTTGTTGATGTTATTGAGGTAATTCTTGTTGCTGTTCATATTGATGTTGGTGTTGTTTATAGATGTCCTTTAAGCTTAACTTTAAAGTTTCCATTCATATTTGGGTTATTCCACCGTGTTCGGGCAATTCTCTGGTATGCCTACTATCAACCATTATAACAATTTGCTGAAATTCAGTTTATGATAAAATGCAAAGCCAAGATATACGTTTTGAAGTAATCTAGCTTCATGGTGAATCAATATTAAAGACCCAAATATTATGTCATGTTATATAAATGTGAGGCCATGTTATAACATTGATTACAAATTATAAAAAGGAGTACATATTAAGCAAAGAATTTGAAGAGAAGTAACCGAAACAGGAATAATTCTGGCAGGGTACTACTTTATATATATTCATGGCAAAAAATATATCTACATCATATGATTTCAATTTCCATATGTGTAGTAGAAAATTATCATAACGACGTATCATAACGACATCATCATATCCCCTTCCCCCTAACTTCATGAAATGACCCTCTAATTGTCACAGTGACACCAGGAGGAACAACATCAGCCCCAAAAGCCCGATGGGAAGTGAGGGACAAGGACGGCAAGCTGTGTATGATCATGGACTTCGATGGAACCATAACTGATGTAAGTTTGATCGCTCATTTTTAGGTGGTCTGTCAATGACAGATCACCTATTGTTTTCGTCAGAATTTTCTTTCTTTATTAGGTGGTCTGTCAATGACACATCACCTATTGTTTTCGTCAGAATTTTCTTTCTTTCTTTATTTATTTATTTATTTATTTATTTATTTATTTATTATTTATTTTTATTTATTTCTTCACACTTTTTTGTTCACAGGATAACTCAAGATCGGTTCAATCAATTTCCTTCAATTTTTGGACAGCCATAGGTCATTGCCATGAGACGTGACAGTAACATTTTCAAGGTCATCAAATCTTCATGACGTCATCCAGGCGCCATTTTGTGTTTTTTTTTTGGTACTTTTTACTCATGATCATATCTTCATAACAGAAAAGCATTTCTCATTCATATTTATCATGATTAAGGTCAATATCCGTCCGGTCAATTTCAGGTCAAAAAACGCGCGCGCATGCGTACGTCCGCGCGTCAGCTCGCGCGCAAAATTTCAAAATGCTCAAAATCATATCAAATTAATTTTGCATACGTTTCAGGCCATTTTAAGCATTTTGCACACAAAAAAACGCGCACACGCGAATGCGCGCGCGTTTTCGCGCGTACTGGTATTTTCCAACTTAGAATCGCCAATTTTTCTCTTTCATCATATTTGGCACATTTTTTCAAGCATTTTGATACCTTGTTCACCTTTTTCTTACGATTAATAACGGAATGACCGTCCGTTTAAGATAATTTCCGTGAGTGCGAGCTCTTGTAATACATAGCATTCATGGGCAAAAACATGCCTATACAAAATCCATTGTAGCGCTTTAGGATGCAAGGTGAACCAAATTTCTTTTCCATATTTTGATAGAGTATAAATTGGAGAAATGATTTCATGTCTCATTTGACCCTCAATTAACTCATGACGTCATCATAATGGCCTTCGAACACAAAATTTCAATTTCCATATTATGACGTCAGCATATTTCTGGAAAATTGATTGTATCTCTGTAAATATTGATCGATTTTCTTCCAAATTTTGATATGATCTAGCTGAGACAATTCTCTACAAATGCCGTTGGCACAATATTTCATTTTGACTTAGGTATCATGGCGTATTTTTGCGATTAAAGGTGGCATGTCAATTTTTCACATTTTGCGTGTATTCTCTATAGGACATGACTTTTTCTCAAAATTGGTTTCTACATCCTGTCTTTTGCGAGCAATATCTCCGTCGTTTTAGCTTTGTTTTCGCTGAGCTTTGAGTATGTTGTAGCTGAGACAATAAGCTATCACTAGTGTGCCCTTCATTTTTCGATCAGATGCCGGGATCATGCTCATATTTCACTTGCAAAGTGGGATTTGATAATTCCATTTTCCGTTTACGTGTAATCTCTATGGGAAATGTTTTGGTATATCGGTAACGCACTTGACTTCCGACCTCGAGGTCCCTGGTTCGAGTCCGGGCGTCTCCAACAGTTTTTTTTTTCTTCACTTTTTGTTCTTTTTGACCTTTCACTGTACCATCTCCTTTGAATATTAAAACACGTAGTATCGCAAATAATGTAATAAACAACCATATTTACTTTATTATTACCCTATAATCACTTGATCCATTACTTTTTGCGTGTAATCCTTATGGGAGATGACTTTTTCTCAAATCTGGATTCTACATTCATGTCTTTTGAGAGCAATATCGCCATTTTTTCCTCTTGGTTTTTGTTGATTTTTGTGTATGTTGTAGCTGAGCCTATATGCTATCTAAATATCCCCTCACTTTTTTCAATCAGATGTCAGGATCACGATCATGATCATCATGATTATCATTATCGTCATCATGACAATCATGATCATGATCAAGTAGTTTATTTCTCAATACTTTGTGTCATATTCATTAGGACTACTTATTTTGATATTTGTTTGCATTAAATTTGATCATGATCATTATGCATTCATCATGATAATTTCTCAATACTTCGTTCATCAGTTCAGCTCATCAGTTCAGCTCATCAGTTAAGTTCAGTTCATCAATTTGTCCTTTTAGCTCATCGATTCAGTTCATTTCACATAAGTTAAATCTATCAGTTCATCAGTTCATCAGTACTTCATTCATTAATTCATATCTTAATACATCATTTTACTTTAACATCAGTTTATTGGGTAATTGAATTGAAGATGAGCTTGATCATAAGAACTGAAGACAGACCACCTAATTCGTCCCCATGACGAATTAAATTTCTAGTTTCTTTTTATATCAGCAAGTTTATCTATATTACAAATATAACAAACTTACATTTGTTATTGAATCACCAGTGCTTTGACAGTTGGTGATAAGTTTTGTGATTTACATCAAACACCAGTAGCGTAACTCGGGGAGTGGGGGTACAAGTCAACGAATAAGATGGCAAAAAAGGGAATACAAAAAACTGAAAACAAATACTGGCAACGGAACAGCAAAATCTTGTACTTTCGGATGCAAACTTCCGAAAATTATTAATTTTATAATTAAAAAAAATCCAGTATGGTACAATTCAATACTAGAAGCCCTCGTTCAAGCTCCACACACTGTCTGTATTAATACTCCATTTTATACAGCTCTCGTACTGTACACCTATTGTAGCTGTATGTGTCTGGACGAATAGCTAAATCTTCGTTTCTGTTCTTCCAATATAACGGTTATTATACCATCGTTGGTAGTTTTGAACATTCGATTTAATATTAGTAGACACGTTTCCGGAGGTTAAGTGTACTTAAAAAAAAGCTTATCTTGGTAATTAAAAAAGACCGCCAGTGGATTGTATGACGCAGCAACAAAATGAATGCCATCCACAGATATGCCATAATGCATAGGAGGTGAATCACTTGTAACCAAGGGATCGGGCGAAGAGTAAGCATACATTGGTAAATAGGCCTACTGAGTCTATTCTCAGCCTCAACCACAATACCACAATTTAAGATTTCCTGCGAAAAAGATTTAAAACACCACTAAAACCCTGTTAAAATGTTACATAGTGCCTCTGACGGGACCAAACATTCACTTGCAGGTCATTAATGGTGTGACTGAAAAGATACCGTCTCATGCGTCGACATCCGCATCTGATTGCAGCTCATCTTCATATTCAGCATTTGTCTTGGATTTTAATACTATTTTTACTGAATGGAGAATTGTACTGAACTTCACCACTAGAGGGGGCTCGTTCATGCTCCACACACTTTCTGCGAGCAGGAGCACCCTTAGAAGTAAGTTGATAGGGCGAAAATTGTAATATTTTATTCGATTTGATTTGATAAATAAAATCATGCCACGAATATACAAAACATAAAAATACCTTAACATTTAACACATTTTGGTAAAACAAAGAAACAATAAAAACATAGCCCAATGCTAACGGAGGTTCTTCCCATCATTACTTTTTGTAATTGACATTAACACACATGTAATAAACAATGTATATCGATATTTTTTAAATTTTAATTATACAATTTTTAATATTTCATTACATGATTTTGCTTTTTTTTGAGAATTTACTGATGGAGGATTATTATGGAAGAGCTGCGGAGAGAGAGAAGGTTTTCAATCCCTATTTTTATATTGAAATCTACATGTATATGGGATCCAACTAATAGTAATGATGGAAAGGGAAATACAAATACTAAGTCCAGGATAATAGACAGACAACATATAAGTCATATGACGATAAGATGTACACGTCGAACAATAATACATTCAAACTTGTATTTTATGTGGTGAGGTAAGCAATATAGGCCTATTGCTCAATATTCATAAAAAACGTTACTCTATTTTTTTCCCCAGCGCCACTTTCCTCTTCTGTGACCGAAGATTTCTTTAATGTGCCTCTTGGTGACTATTACACCTGCAGTCACTTCAACTACAGTCTAGGCTACCTTCAGCTCAACCTGACCAACCCTTCGCTCCAGCCTTTCGTCCAGAGAACCGAAGGAGGGGACAACTTGGGACAAGGTAAGGGATTAATCATTTCCTTCTTCTAGACACAGATAACCCTTAAGCCCGAATTTCTATGGATTAATTAATGATTAAAAAGTTAGAAGAAAATAAACATGATAAAGAATATAATAAAAACAGAGCGCACAGAACGGGTAAGAATGCGTCGACCAGTCTACTTCCAGGTCAATATTGTTTTTATCGAGAGTGTATTCCTGCAATATCCCTTTTTAAAAGTGAAATTTGAAGCTATTTGAATATATTCTAATGACAGGGAACCCATAACATACAGGACGACATTAACATAACAAATTCTGATTGGCCTTTAAAATCAAGGCGATTTAGTTTTATGATGAAGATCACTTAAATTGTTACATTACATTTCCATCACCAGCAAACTATGTAAAGATATATGATGACCGGATTAGTCGGGAGAATCCGCGTTACGGGGCTTTCAAATATACTCTCCGGCGCGCGTTATTTTTGTATGCGGCACAGATTGGGGTTAGGTGCGTGTTGAGCCTATGGGAAAGTTTTGGGTTAGGGTAAGGGTTAAATCAAGACCTTTAAAAAAAAAACCAATCTGTGTCGCAGAAAAAATGATGCCTCCGGGGCCCGTACGGCGAGTAAAAACAGACATTTAAGGAATTTTCGGCCGGTGTCCGGCTGGCTCCCGTCCAGTTTCTACGGGCGCCAGTACAATTTATTAAGCCGTACGGGGGCTGTGGTGCTGAGTTGGCTGCTTCCTATTCTCTCGGCGTTTTTAACTGACCGTTGGGCCGTAGAGAGTCCGTTAAGAGCCCGTGAGGCGCCTTACGTGTCCCGTGTGGATTCCCGACGGTGCCCGGACGGGGCCCTCACGCTCTGTTAATTCTCAATGTAAAACGCAGCTTTGAATACAGAGGCGCGGGTGTCAGAGGACACATAGTTCAATGCGCCGCACGGTATTACACGGACACACTGCAAGTATTTAACTGTTATCCTGCCACAGGGCTAATCCCTGTTGTGCTAAGCCACAAATCCCCCAGTGCCAAGTTTATTTTGAGATAATCGGATTAACGCGATGGTACTATCAGTAGCGCGTGCGAAACACTAGACACAGTACAATTGGCAAGAACAATAACTGCTATTACGAATGCTTGCAAACATGCAAGAAACAGCGAAGCGATAGCTTGTTCGGGTGTACAAATCACTATAACGGTAGCGTGCATGCAAGCTTATAGCAGGATGTGAGTTAAGTGTGGGGGGGGGCGATATAGGCAGTTCCTGTCCTACGCTGGATTCGCCAGTTTCATTTTAATTATATTTCTATGATATCAAGCATTAACAATATTCATTATCATAGTGAACAAACCAGTTCGTAATTAACACACGGTTTAAATGACCCGACAGTTCTTTTAAACATGGAGAAGTCCAACTTTTTGTGCATTTTACAATGATCACTGCCAGTGTAATGGAGGTGCTTCATGAATATCCTTTGTTCAGCCTCTTAAAAAAAGAAAATACTTTCACCTGTGTTCCATAAAATTTACCATCAGTGATAAATGAAAAATGACTACGTAACTTTCACGAACACGTATCGAGGGTTTAACAATTTTTTTTTTTTTTTACAGATGACCCTTATTTGCCCATGAGCAGATTATTTCTACGAAGTGGTTTATTATTGTAGCGTTTTCCATTTTTATCTCATTATCTCACCAGCATATGTTTGTCGACCTGCACAACAAAGTGACAGTAACACCTTGAAGCTCGATCGTAAAACCAAAATCGGCCTCGGGGTCGGCATTCCGATCGCGCTCATAGTCATCGTATGCTGTGGGTGTTGTTGTTGTTGTTGTGGTAGTTGTGGTAATTATAAAATGAATTATTCAAAATCATGTAGATATAGCTCCTTTTAGTCTCATTTCACACCCCCCCCCCCTCCCCCCTATCGTCAGAGGCAGCAGCCATACATGTTAGCCTATGGAATTGTACCAACAACAAAAAATCGTTAACAATTCATTTTTTGTTTAAATGAAAAGCACATCCACCCGACTTACGTTATCACTAGCTCTTCAATTGGAACCCTCATGTCCCATTGACTTTTGAAAGTTCACCCAACGTAATTTGATCAAAATAGGTTGCAAGCTCGTCATTGCCTATAATACATATGTGAAACAAGTCGAACTTTGGACTCAGTTTGCCAAGCGATTTTAAGATTATAAGTCAAGCACACGAAGGATAAGAAGCATGAATTATCATAGATCACTTCTGCTTGGTTCATTATGTCCATTTCATCCAACCCCCCACCGTCATTTTTCCATTTAGTAAAAGCAAAAATTTTGCCGAGGTAGGCAAAAACATGAATATTCATGAACGGTCAGACAATACAGCCTTTTAGTACGTAACGTATAGTGAATGGGAATGGGCGATGAGCCGTCCAGGAGGTAGAGGTCAGTGGTTTGTGCTGGCAATGTTCCAGCGAGCGAAAATGAGACAATCGGAGCAACATGCGAATTGTTGTCGTTAAAAAAAAAAGCTATTGCATTTCAATATTGTAGTTCTGAGCAGTGGATGATCCCCAATAAACCTTTGGTTTTTGATCACCCCCTTTGCCGGTTCATCTGTTGTTTTAATTCTTTTATTATGCAGATATTGACTGGCAGGGGGTGTAATATAACATTATTTGGACCTCTGAAGGGAGTTATATTTTCTCAAGTGGTTATATTTTCTTGGTAGCCTTGGTTTGAATATTTTTTTTTTCGGGGGGAGGGTGGTCCTTTTGGGGGGGGGCCTGACAAAATTTGTTTTCGAAGACTAACAAAATTTTACAAGAAAAAAAATGCGAACAAAAAAATTAAGAAAAAAAACTATTTTGAAATAATTCGAGAAAAAATAAAATCCTGAAAAAAAAAAAAATTCTTATTAGAAACAAAATGTGTGTAATGTGTGTAATTGGTGACATACATTCCTCAAAAGGGCGACATGCATTGATTAAAAATATATTCATTTCACCAGCTGGTTAATATAACACTGAAAAGTGACCGGCCAGGAAAATATAACAATTTGGATCCTCACAATTGATATCACGTGACGAGCTCTGGACCAATCACATCTCGGGTATCTGTCTAAACTATCTAATATAATTGATTGTACATTGTGTAAATATATTGTCTTGTTATGAATCTGTAGAAATAAATGAAATCGAAATTGAAAATTCTCCTTCTTATATGCTCGGGCTTAGTCAGGGGTGTGCATGATGAAACACATACCCTGCGTTAAGTCTACCAGAATTCACCGTATATAAGTGCGTCGTATAGCTGTATGATTAATAATGACCATTTTCTAGTCTATAACGTCGTATGATTAAGAAACGTTGTATATACATGTATGTATATACACACAGGTATGAGTATACATGAGTATTTAGGTGATACGTACGTAGACGTATCACCTTTTGATTTCGTCAAGATTTTTCTTTATTATTATTATTATCAGGTGGGCTGTATAACGTACAGACCACCTTATAATTTCGTTAGAATTGCCTTTATTTATTTATTTATTTATTATTTATTTTTTTTTATTTCTAACCACTTTTTTGTTGGCAGGATAACTTGAAAATGGCTCAATCAAAAGCCTTGAAATTTAGCACACATATGTATAGGCATATGTACAAAGCACAATAACGTTTTCAACATTAAACATTACTGATGACGTCATCTAGGCGCCATTTTGTAAAATTTTACGAAAATCAACTTATGATCATATCTTCATAACCAAAAGTTATTTCTCATTCATATTTATCATGATCTAGGTCAATATCCGTCCGGTCAATTTCAGGTCAAAGAACGCGCGCGTGCGCGTACGTCCGCGCGACAATGCGCGCGCAAAATTTTAAAATGCTCAAAATCGTCTCAAAATCATTTTGCATACGTTTGAGGCCATTTTAAGCATTTTATAAAAAATCGCGCACACGCACATGCGCACGCGTTTTCGCGCGTAAAACTATTACACAACATAGAATCGCCATTTTTTTTCTTCATAATATTCTACATATTTTTACAAACAAATAGATGCCATGGTTGTTTCTTTATGACTATTAAAAACGGAATGATCGACCGTTAAACAAAATTTCCGTGCGCGCGAGCTCTTGTAATACATAGCATATATGGGCAAAAACATGCCTATACAAAATACATTGTAGCTCTTTAGAATGCAAGGTGACGCCAATTTTTTTCATATTTTAATAGAGTATGATTCGGAGATATTTGTTCATGTCTCATTTGATCCTCAATTAACTCATGACGTCATCATAATGGCCTCCGAACTCAAAATTCCAATTTGCATATTATGACGTCAGCATATTTATAGAAAATTGATTGTATCTCTGTAAATATTGATCGATTTTCTTCCAAATTTTGATACGTTCTAGCTGAGACAATTTTCTACAGATGCAGTTCTAATTATTCTTTATTTTGACAAAGGCATCATGGCGTATTTTTGCGATTAAAGGAGGCATGTCAATTTTTCACATTTAGCGTGTATTCTCTATGGGACATGACTTTTTTTCAAAACTCGATTCTACATTCCCGTCTTTCGCGAGCAATATCTACGTCGTTTTAGCTTCGTTTACGCTGTACTTCGAGTTTGTTGTAGCTGAGACAATAAGATATCTCAAATGTGCCCTTCATTTTGTCTCAAATTTTAGTTGGACCAGCCCACCTATACTTGTTCCAAACAAGTATTACAAATCTAGTCAGGTGGGCTGTATAACGTACAGACCACCTTATAATTTCGTTAGAATTGCCTTTATTATTTATTTATTTATTTATTTATTTATTAAATATTTTTCTTATTTCTAACCACTTTTTTGTTAGCAAGATAACTTGAAAATGGCTCAATGAAATGCCTTGAAATTTGGCACACATATGTATAGGCATATGTACAAAGCACAATAACGTTTTCAACATTGACCTTCACTGATGACGTCATCTAGGCGCCATTTTGTAAAAATCAACTCATGATCATATCTTCATAACCAAAAGCTATTTCTCATTCATATTTATCATGATCGAGGTCAATATCCGTCCGGTCAACTTCAGGTCAAAAAACGCGCGCGTGCGCGTACGTCCGCGCGTTAATGCGCGCGCAAAATTTTTGAATGCTCAAAATCATCTCAAAATCATTTTACATACGTTTTAGGCCATTCTAAGCATTTTATAAAAAATCGCCCACACACACGCGCGCGTTTTCGCGCGTAAAACTATTACACAACATAGAATCGCCATTTTTTTTCTTTCATAATATTCCACATATTTTTACAAACAAATTGATACCATGCTTGTCTCTTTATGACTATTAATAATGGAATGATCGACCGTTTAACATAAATTTCCGTGCGCGCGAGCTCTTGTAATACATAGCATATATGGGCAAAAACATGCCTATACAAGATCCATTGTAGCCCTTTAGGATGCAAGGTGACCCCAATTTTTGGGTCATATTTTGATACAGTATGAATTGGAGATATGATTTCATGTCTCATTTGACCCTCAATTAACTCATGACGTCATCATAATGGCCTCCAAACTCAAAATTTCAATTTGCATATTATGACGTCAGCATATTTACGGAAAATTGATTGTTTCTCTGTAAATATTGATCGATTGTCTTCAAAATTTTGATATGTTTTAGCTGAGACAATTGTCTACAAATAAAATTGGCCCTAATTTTCATTTTGACAAAGGCATCAGGGCGTATTTTCGCGATTAAAAAAGACATGTCAATTTTTCACATTTTGAGTGTATTCTCTATGGGACATGAGTTTTTCTCAAAACTGGATTCTTTCGCGAGCAATATCTCTGTCGTTTAGCTTCGTTTACGCTGAACTTCGAGTATGTTGTAGCTGAGACAATAAGCTATCTCAAATGTACCCTTCATTTTGTCTCAAATTTTGGTTCGACCAGCCCACCTATACTTGTTCCAAACAAGTATTACAAATCTAGTTTATTTTTCTTATTTCGACCCACTTTTTGTTAGCAAAATAACTTGAAAATGGCTAAATCAAATAACTTGAAATTTAGCACACATATGTATAGGCATATGGAGAAAACACGGTAAGGTTTTAAACCTTGACCTTGACTGATGACGTCATCTAGGCGCCATTTTGTGAAATTTTCTGAAAATTTACTCATGATCATATTTTCATAACGGTAAGTTATTTCTCATTCATATTTATCATGATCAAGGTCAATATCAGTCCGGTCAATTTCATGTCAAAAAGCGCGCGCGTGCGCGTACGTCCGCGCGTCAGTGCGCGCGCATAAATTTAAAATGCTCAAAATCGTCTAAAATCTTTTTTGCATACGTTTCAGGTCATTTTAAGCATTTTATAAACAATCGCGCGTACGAGCATGCGCGCGCGTTTTCGCGCGTAACAACATTACAAAACATAGAATCGCCATTTTTTTTTCTTTCATGATATTTCTCATATTTTTTCGAGGAATTTGATACCATGTTTATCTCTTTATGACCATTAATAACAAGATGAGCGTCAATTCAACATAAACGTCTGTGCGCGCGAGCTCTTTTAATACATAGCATATATGGGCAAAAACATGAATATACAAAATACATTATAGCTCTTTGGAATGAGCCGTGACCTTCAATTTGTTTTCATATTTAGATAGAGTATGAGTCGGAGAAATGATTTCATGTCTCATTTGGCCATTAAGTGTATCGTGACATCATCATAATGGCCTTGGAACTCAAAATACGAATTTGCATATAATGACGTCAGCATATTTATGTAAAATTGATTGCATCTCTGTAAATATTGATCGATTTTCTTCCAAATTTCGATATGTTGTAGCAAAGACAATTCTTTACAAGCTCAGTCATCACCATTTTTCATTTTGATCACGACATCATAGTGAAATTT